TAGAGTAGAGTAGAGTAGAGTAGAGTAGAGTAGAGTAGAGTAGAGTAGAGTAGAGTAGAGTAGAGTAGAGTAGAGTAGAGTAGAGTAGAGTAGAGTAGAAGTAGAATAGAATAGAAATAGAAATAGAAATAGAAATAGAAATAGAAATAGAAATAGAAATAGAAATAGAATAGAATAGAATAGAATAGAATAGAATAGAATAGAATAGAATAGAATAGAATACTTTATTGGCCAAGTGTGATTGGACACATTGGTGCAAATGCTCTCAGTGTACATAAAAGAAAAGATACATTTGTCAAGAATCAAGGATCATTAGGTACAACACTTAATGATAGTCACAGGGTACAAATAAGCCATCAAATCATACTAGGAAACAGTCAATATAAATCGTGAGGATACAAGCGACAAAGTTACAGTTATACAGTCACAAGTGGGAGAGGATGGGCGATAAGGAGCGATGAGAAGAGTCATAGTAATAGTAGTGCACACTTTGTAAATAGTTGGACAGTGTTGAGGGAATTATTTGTTTAGCAGAGTGATGGCATTCAAGGGGAAAAACTCTCCTTGTGTCTAGTTGTTCTGGTGTGCAGGGTTCTGTAGCATCATTTTGAGGGAAGGAGTTGAAACAGTTTATGTCCGGGATGTGAGGGGTCTGTAATCAGTCTCCTCCCACTAACCCCTAGTAAGCCCCTAGTACAGGTGTCACCAAACGTAGCAACTTTAAGACTTACAGAGTTCAACTCCCTCAATTCTGGGAGTCGAAGTCCCTAAGTCTTAAAGTTGCCACGTTTGGAGACCTCTGCCCTAGGATATAAACAGAGTGCAAATCCCACACTCCCTTCTAGCCCTGCTGATGTTACCTAGTTGGGTCATGAAACGTCTGCAGGGAAACAGCCAAACTCAGAGAGCCTCAAGGACTCCACAGTGTGAAAATCCCAGATAAGCAGAGATTGACCCCACACAAATAACGAAGCAGAAGACAATATTCTAATCAAGGAACTGCCAAGGGGAAGAATATTCTCTTGCCAACATTAACAGGTTAGTCCGCTTGTATATAAACAGAGAGCACTGCCCGCTCCCTTCTGGCACTGATGACGTTACCCAGTTGGTAACGAAACGTCTGCAAGAAAAGGGAGTTACCAAGGAGCCCACAAATTATAATCTACTGTAGGTCTATTCAAGGCAGTGAGTTAAGAGTTAGCAGATTTTTAATTTTTTTTTAAACGATAATAATTCTCTGTTGGCAAGACGGACATTGGTTTGACTTTCCAACTCCGCTAGAGAAGGTTCAACGGTAAAACTTTTGAGAAAACCTTCCCTCTTCACCTCTGATTGCTGTTGGCTCCTGTTCGTTGGTCTCAGTAGCCCACCCGGCCAATTGTCCTACCACCTTTGGGGTCCTAGCCATTCAAGTATGAGCCAGCCGTGGGCTGCAGCTGCCAACACGGTTCTAGGCTGCATCAACAGAGGGAGAGAATCAAGATCACGTGAAGTCTTGATACCACTTTGTAAGGCCTTGGTAGTAAGGCCGCCCTTGGAATCCTGCATCCAGTTTTGGTCGCCACGATGTAAAAAAAGACACCGAGACTCTGGAAAGACTGCAGAGAAGAGCAACCAAGAGAAATGAGGGGACTGGGGGCTAAAACGCAGGACGAACGGTTGCAGGAACTGGGTCTGTCTAGTCTAAGGAAAAGAAGGACCAGGGGAGACAGGATAACAGTCTTCCAGTGTCTCAGGGGTTGCTCCAAAGAAGAGGGAGTCAAGCTATTCTGCAAAGCATCTGAGGGCAGGGCAGGAAGCCATGAATGGAAACGAATCAAGCAATTTAGAATTTAGGAGAAATTTCCTGGACTGGAAGACCTCCAAGGCCCCTTACAACTCTTGTTATTCTATTCTGTTCTATTCTATTCCACGTTCTATATTCTATTCTATATTCTGTTCTGTTCTGTATTCTCTACTCTACTCTACTCTACTCTACTCTACTCTACTCTACTCTACTCTACTCTATATTCCATTCTATTCTATTCTACATTCTATTCTATTCCATATTCTATTCTATCCTATATTCTGTTCTGTTCTATATTGTCTATTCTATTCTACTCCACTCTATTCTATTTTCTGTTCTATTCTATTCTATTTTCTGTTCTGTTCTATTCTACTCTATTCTATTTTCTATTCTATTTTCTATTCTATTCTTCCTACATTCTATTATATTCCATATTCTCTATTCTATTCTAACCTATATTCTGCTCTGTTCTATATTCTCTATTCTATTCTACTCCATTCTATTTACTCTACTCTCTACTATACCCCTATCCCTATTGTAATCTTCCTGCCATCTTCTTCCTCTTTCCAGTGTCTCACCGGGAGGGCAAATTCCACTCTGAACTCTCCAAGTTGATGATCGTGGCCGAAAAATCCCACGACGAGCTCTGAGCCCCGTCCACTCCACCCGTGGGAGAAGACCTGCGGTGGGACCTCGGGTTGGTCTTGGTGGGGGGAACTCTTTGTGGATTCCGGGGTCCACCCGAGCTCACCTTGAAGAAGAACACATTTGGGGAAGAAACACAAGCCACGCATACAGACCCTTGGAACTCGAGAGCTCCCTTCCACGGCGTTCTTCCCCGTGGCCTCGGTCGGTGCCGTGGGATGCGTGAGAAGTGAACCAGGATTACAGGATTACCGCCTCTCAGATCTGGTGCTGCAAAAATACCGATTGCCTAGGATCTGGCTGCCTCCCTTTGGCGCAGGATTTCGCCCGAGGGATTTGCAGGAAGTTGATCCCTCTGCAGGAATTGGTGCGCGCGTGTAATCTGCTCCGAAAAGTTTCCTTCTCTCTCCCCTCCTCTTCCCCCATAAATTGTTTGAATGTTCACACACGCACACACCCAAAAAATCTGTCCCGTGGAAATGGAGCAATCATATAAATAAAAACAAATTTATATCCTTGACACTGTCGAGTTTCCCCCCTGCCTTTTCAGCCTTGCTTCCAAAGAGGAGAAAATACACGTTAACCACCGTCACGGAGTCTCAACATTTCTGTGGCTAAGCAAGACATTTGTTCATTGAAGTGTCAACTCATAAAACATTCCTCAGCCTGTTTTAGTAGTTGCCGTAGAAAAATGCGGGGGGGAGGAAGGAAATAAAGAGCGGTGCAGGAAGCTAAAGCGAAAATACATTCCAACTCTTTATCTTTAAAAGGTTGTAACTAAACTACCGGAGCTTTTACCTACGAATATGTTTAATTGGAGAATGTGATTGATGACACCCAGCCAGTGAACGTGCTCAATTGGAGAATCTGATTTATGACACACCCGGGGGACAGGGCGGGGGGGAACAGGGCCAAAGGGGGTTGTAAATGACATACGCCAGAGTCGGCTTCACACAGGGCAGTGCCAGTATGTTGCCTCTAATAAATCCTTCGGAGTTTTTTTTTGAAGTTTGGCTCGAGAATCATGATTGAATTAGGGTGATTTCTGGAATCCTGACAGCAAGCCAACTCTGGCATACGTAATTTGCCCTGTGTCGCGGCCTTCCTTGCCACCATGATTTAAGCTACTCGCCCGGTCGTTAAGTGAACCCGGCTGCCCCAATGACTTTGCTTGTCAGAAGGTTGCCAAAAGAGGATCCCGCGGCCCTGTTTCCCCACACTTCATGGGGTGACTAACGGGGACTCCTCTCGTGAGGAGATTAATGAATAATAACCCATGCTGTACTCAAATAAGATGTTTTATTTGTTTTGTTAAAACTCCGTAAAACTTTATTAAAAAAAAAAAAGTAAATGCGTAGTAGGGTAGAAAGGGAAAGAAATGAATTGAGTTCTGACTTTAATAATAGGATTGCTAATGCAATCCTAAGTTGCATTAACAGAGGGATGCAATCGAGATCAAGGGAAGTACTAACACCACTCTATAAAGCCTTAGTAAGACCACACCTGGAGTCCTGCATCCAGTTTTGGTCACCACACTATAAAAAAAGAGGTTGAGACTTTAGAAAAAGTACAGAGAAGAGCAACCAGGAGGATTAGGGGACTGGAGGCTAAAATATACAATGAACGGTTGCAGGAACTGGGCTTGGCTAGTCTAGGGAAGAGAAGGACCAGGGGAGACAGGAGAGCAGCCTTCCAATATTTGAGGAGGGGCTGCCACAGAGAGGAAGGGGAGTCAAGCTATTTTCCAAGGCACCTGAAGGCCAGACAAGGAATAATGGATGCAAACTGAACAAGGAGAGATTCAACCTGGAAATAAGGAGAAACTTTCTGACAGGGCGAACAATCCACCCATGGAACAGAAGTTGCCTGTGGAAGTTGTGGGAGCTTTATCACTGGAGGCTTTCAAGAAGAGATTGGACTGCCCTCTGTCAGAAATGGTGTAGGGTCTCCCGCTTGGGCGGGGGGTTGGACTAGATGACCTACAAGGTCCCTTCCAACTCTGATTATCATCTGTTACCTGTGGTCGTACGTCGAGGGCCCACCCATCTATTCCCTTTTAAAGAATCTTCTGCACGAAGAAGACATGAATCCTTCCTCTTGATATTTCTTTTCCTCTTATGCAACTCTTTTGAGTAGCAGGCCTGGAAGACCGCACCACGGAGAAACAACCCTCACACACCCTCACACACCTGTCAACATCGCGGCAAAACATTTCCTGCCCGGTTGAGTTTTCAGTGACGCCAGCCGCCCTGGCTCGTTTTTTTCCCCTGGACCAACGTTGCAAATAATAAAACCTTTCCAAGAGGTTGACAAACAAGACCGACAGCTCCATAAGTGGAGCGTCCCTCCCTGTCCGGGTTTCCGCCTCTGGCTTGGTGGCGCCCCTCACCTGCAGTGTGGTTGTTGGTTCATCACAAGGGTTGTGACACCAGCTGGGCTGCCAGCTGCTCCTTCCTATGAAGGCCTCTGGGGACACACACACAAAAAAAACAGCTGGAATTCCTGTCGCTGGTCTTCCTGATTTCTGTGTTTAAACTTGCAAGACAAAGGATGTGTTGAATACGGAGCCTAAGAAATGCAGACTTCAACTCCCAGAATTCCCTTGCCCACGCAGGAGCATTCTGGGAGTTGAAGTCCCACTTGTCTTCCCCTTGCCAAGTTTGTGAGCTATCCCCTTCCCCTAGGTCCGTGATGGTGAACCTATGGCACGCATGTTGGAAGTGGCACGCAGAGCCAGTTCTGCCGGCACACTAGAGGTCCCCCGGAAGAGCCCCACTGCGCATGCAGTGTGCCCCCCCCACCCGCCAGTGGATTGTCAGGAGATGCGCAGCACATGAGGGTTGTGCGTGCATGCGCAGAGTTGCGCGGTGCATGCGCGCACGGGCACTCACTTGCGACACGCAACGAGGAAAAGGTTAGCCATCACTGCCCGAAGCCAGTGTGTGCCAGAAAGCATGATCCAAGGACTCCCCGGTCCGACCAGGCTACTGATTCACTTAACAACCACGCCGATTCATTTAATGTCCATCGCCAAAAAGGTCATAACATCCAGCCCAACCCACACAACCAGTCTTTATTTTATGTGCTATAACCGGGATGGTCCTGGAAGCATGATCCACAAATCTCGGGATTTGCAACTGGGGTTGCAAATTCACTGAACAACCATGATTCACTTAATGGCTGGTGCAAAAACAAAAACGTCATGAAACCCAGTCTAACGCATGACCAGCTTATTCACATGTTACAACCATGATGGGCAGGCTCCATTCTGGGAATTGACGTTGCCACGGTTGGGAAACACTGCCCTAGTTATTTTAAGGCAGACTGCTCTTGCGTATGGAGGCTCGTTAGAGGTCATTAGATGCTGCCTAGGGGATTCTGGGAGTTGGAAGTCCACCAATTCTTCCAGTTGTCAGACTTGTGAGCTATCCCCTCCCCTAGGCCAGGGTGTTGCTGAAAGCATCATCCAGCGTCCAACCAGGCTGCCGATTCACTTAACAACATGTAAATTCATTTAATGATCAATGCAAAAAAAAAAAAAACCAGTCATAAAATCCAATCCAACCCACAACCAGCCTGTTTTATGACCATCTTATGCTATAGCCATGATGGGGAACCTCATTCCGGGAGTTGATGAGTCCAAGGTTGGGAAACATTGCCTTGTTTATTTCAAGGCAGACTGCTCTTGAATATGGAAGTTCCTCCAAGGTAGTTTAAATGCTTGGCTAGGAATTCTGGGAGTTGAAGTCCACCCAGCTTCAAAGTTGCCAAGTTTGGGAAATGCCAGGAATGGGATCCTATCGGTTTGGGCTGATTTGAGTGAACCGATTGCCCCAAAAATCAGCTGTGAGCGAAGTGGTTCGCTCCAACGATCAGCTGTTGGGCCCTGTCTGCCCCTCCTCTAGTTCAGGGATCGCCAACCTTTTGGATCTCAGGGACCACCAAAACTCATTTTAAATCCCGCGGACCAGAGACCCTGGGAAAATCCCCCCCAAAAGTCTGCAGGAAAATCCCCCACCCTGTTTTCCTACCGATCGTTCTTTATTTAGGATCGCAGGATACCGTCTCCAGCTCCGTTCTTGGGTTGAGAGAGAGAGAGAGAGAGAGAGACTTTTGGCTTCATGCAAGGAAAACAGCAGGAGCCGCAGAAGTCTTTCTTTCTCTCCCCCAAACTCCGCCAGAAATGAGTCTTTGTGAGTCTTGTCACGTCGGTGCAGCCTCTTAGAGCGGGAGGCCTTGCAGGGTCCCAAAGACTCATTTCTGGCAGAGTTTAGGGGGAGAGAAAGAAAGACTTCTGCTGCTTTCCTGCGTGGCGCGTGGCGCGCTTACCGAACTGGTTAGTTACACCAGTTGAATTCCACCCCTGGGAAACGCTACTCCTTATTTTTGAGGCTGACTGTTCTTGAACATGGAGGTTCGTTAGAGGTCATTAGACGCTGCCTAGGAGATCCTGGGAGTCGGACGTCCACCCAGTTTCACACTGACAAAGTTGGGAAATGCGATTCTAATCACTGTTAAGGCTGAACGCTCTTGAATACGGAGCCCGCTTGGAAGTAATTAAACGCCTCTCTTTGCCTAATCTTCTTTGCATGGCATCCAATTTGCAAATCCCACAAAAACAGAGACAGAGTTAGCAAATTGCAAGACGCCAGCGTTCCCGAGTCTGTCGGAGGTGTTGGAAGAGGAATTCCCAGGAATTCTCAGCCAGCATGGCCCCAACGGAGGCAAGTTGGCTTGTGCAAAACCAAGCTGTGGTTTGCTTGGGCTTTAGCCCAAACCACGGGAGGCCTTGCTTTGTAAACTGTGGTTCATCACTAAGCACATTGCATGAATTTAGCTAAATTTTGGCTTGATCCAGTAAACACAAATTAAACCATAGCTTAGCATAATGTGTGAATTGGACGACTGCCCAATTATCAAGCAATTCTGGAAGATAGAAAAATGTGAAGCTATTTTGGAGGTCACTTAATCAAACTCTCTCTCTCTCTCTCTCTCTCTCTCTCGTGGCCAGCTACAATTATCCATAATGCTAAGCCACGTCTCATCATCTTCAGATGTCAGTTTAATGACAAACAAACATAGCTAATTGTAGTTTGTGCAGTAAACTAGCATGGCTTAGCATAACAGCCATCACTCTAAGCCATTTTGTATTTTTCCACATGATGTTTTAATGGGAACTATAGCAGCTAATTATGGTTTATGCACTAAACTAGCATGGCTTAGCTCAACAGTTGTCCGTCGTCTAAGCCATGTTGTGTTTTCTCCAGATATTGGTTTAGTGTGAAATACAAAAAACAACTAATTATAGTTCATGCAATAAACTCGTATGACTTGGCCTAAGAATTATCCAGTGTGATTAAGCCATGGTGTCTTCTATAGATGTCAGTTTAGTGCAAAGTAGAAACCCAGCTAATTATGGTTTAATGCAGTAAACTAGTATGGCTTTGCC